GGCTCTGTCTCAAAAAAAAAAAAAAAAAAAAAACAAAACTTCAGTCTGACAATATTTACTTTTATTGGAGTATCTGTATACTGTAATTATTAATGTATTTAGTCTAAATCTCCTACATTGAACCTCTTCTTATTCCATTTTTCCACTTTTTTCCTTAGTCTTAATCACATTTTTTTTATTATTCCATGTCCTCCCATTTGCTAGTTGGTAACATTTTATTATGCATTTAGTACTTAAGCTGTAATAAAATTCATGCTTCACTTATGGTTTAATGTAAATTGTTCTTTTTACTATTTCCTGGCCATTATAAAATTATAATTACAAAATGATTCATTATTATAAAATGTGATCATCACATTCATCCTTGCACTTTTCGTGGCCTAATGTAAATCTGTACTTCCTCCCTGTTGGCTGACATGATGACCTTCTAGCACTGTGAGTCCACCTGCCTTCCTGCTGCCTTCTGTGCTGTCATTATCAGACATTGTGGTTCCACATATACTTTTCTTAAGACCACAATAAATTATTATTTTCTATGGCTAATGTACATTTAAGTGCATTGACTTATTTGCTTCTCTTTTTCTTTCCCTCCTGTACCTTCCATGTTTCCATCTGGGGTCATTTTCCCAAACCCAGCATTTTATTTTGTTTTGTTTTGTTTATTAGTGCACCTCACTGTGGTGAACTCTCTCACTTACTGAGGTGTGTGTCTGGAAGGTTACTCCCCTCCCTCCACGAGTCTGACTCCAGGTGGGCGGCTCCCACCTCTCGGTGCCTGAAACGCTATTCCACTGTTGTTGCCTTTGTGGGGGCGGCAGAGGCTCCTGTGGCCCCTTTGATTGTCGTATCTTTTTGCTTTTTCTGGCTATAATTGATTTTCTCTTTGTTATGGGTTTTCAATGGTTTTACTACAATGTACCTAGAAATATCTTTCTGTTTATCTGTCTTGAAATTCATTGCCCTTCATGTATATGTACACTGATACATTCTGCGTTAGCTTTGGAAACGTCTCACCCATTTTCTCTCCTGCTAGTGTTCTGTTCCATTTCCATCCTTCCCTTTTCTGGACTCAAGTCCTTGTATTATTCAGGGGAAGGAGAAAGATACTAACTAATATCTAAGCTTTCTTACATATGCAGGTAATATTTTAAAGATAAGCTAAGTAATGTGGTAACATGCCTTCTCCAACACCACAAAGGAATACTTATTGTTGGTGTAAAGGCCTTTGTGTCTGAGTGACTTTTTCAGTTTTTTTGAGACAGTCTCACTCTGTGCCCTGGGTAGAGTACTGTGGCATCATAGCTCACAGTGCCTCAAACTCCTGGGCTCAAGTGACCCTCCCACCTTAGCCTTCCCATTAGCTGGGACTACAGGCGTCTGCCACAATGCCTAGCTATTTTAGAGATGGGGTCTCGCTCTTGTTCAGACTGGTCTTGAACTTCTGAGCCAAGGGATCCACCCGCCACAGCCTCCCAGAGTGCTGGGATTATAGGTGTGAGTCACTGCACATCTATGTTTGAAATTTTTTTTAAATAAAAAGCATAATGGAAAATGAGGCATCAAAGTGAGAAAATTTTTCTACTCATAAACTAATAATTCAGGAAATATAACAAATTCTCGACATCTATAGGAAATAGTCAATAGCTCAATTTAAAAATGGGCAAAAGACTTAAATAGGACTTCCCAGAAGAGGAGGCCCATGTGACTTATAAATGTTCTAAAATACGCACATTATTCAACTCAGGGAACTGCAAACTACAGCCACATTTGGATACTAGTTTACATGCATCAGATTGACAAACTTAAAAAGCCAGACATTACCAAGTGCTAGGGAGGACGTGGAACAGCAGGAGAGCTCCGAACCACCACTTGGGATACCAACCCTGGCTCGTCCTATAAAGCAAAGGTGTGCACGCCGCTGCGGAAAAAATCAGCCACAAAACCCGGCACATGCCTGAGTGTTATTACAGACGCATGCATGGGCACATCATTCTGACTGTGAAGAAGAGTGTGAGCGGTGACCTCTGCCTACCTGTCTGCATCTGGCCTGCCATCAGTCAGCTCCTCCTGTGAGAAAGGAACCACAGGAGTCTGGACACGGAGGATGACCCTAGATCCAACCCACCCACTCTACTTAATACATTTAAGAACAATTTTGGGCTTGGAAAACAACATTACATTCTCCAATCTTCTATCAAGTTCCTTCCCCAAAGATCCTTGGGAGGCAGGATCAGCATCCATGTGTCTGCATGAAAAAAGCAAGTTACTTAAGAATCATGGTTGGTGCCTATAGCTCAGTGGTTAGGGCGCCGGCCACATACACCAGAGCTGGCAGGTTCGAACCCGGCCCAGGCCTGCTAAACAACAATGACAAATGCAACAACAACAACAAAAATAGCTGGGCATTGTCGCAGGTGCCTGTAGGCCCAGCTACTTGGGAAGCTGAGACAAGAGAATCGCTTAAACCTAAGAATTTGAGGTTGCCATGAGCTGTGATGCCACAACATTCTACTGAGGGCGACAAATGAGACTCTGTCTCAAAAAAAAAAAAATCACGAAGTCCAAATCGAATTAAAGTTAGCAATGTTCTGTCAGGTGAGCACACACACAGCAAGGTCCCTGGAAACTCAAGGAAAGGAAAGCTCAAGTTTTGGAATGGAGATTACTTTGGGAGAAGGGCGAGAGAGGGCAGAGTGGTGTTCTCTGCCACTGTTTTGCTTAAGTCACTGCTCTTTGGGTCTCTGCCACATGCAGGCTGTGACTGTGGCCCCCACCTTGAGGAAAGGTGGGGGTGGAGGTGATTTCCCTGGAAGTGAAGGTTCTCGGCCCGCCCACCAGCCCACCCCGCAGCTGCCGGGCTTGGGGTGTGAGCGGGACAAAGAGGAAGTGGCTAAAGGGGAAACAGCTCCAGGAGGAGGCAGGGCATGAGGTGCAGAGGCCAGAGCCTGCCTGGTGAGCTGAGGGTCTTCAGTCTGGGCTGGAGCCAGGATGGACACCAAGGCAGGGCCCCCACAGGTATGTGCAAGCCCAGGCCCTGAGAGGGGGCTGCTGTTCGCCTCTCCAAGGCCCTGTCCTCCCAGCAGCCACAGGTCCCTGGGGTCATGAAGCCTCCACTGGCTCTGCAGATGGCCAGTCTCCAGGGGCATTTTGGGAGACAAAGGCCCTTTTCCCATGAGGAGTGGGGCGGGACTGGGGGCAGAAACCATGCCTGGATGTGTGTGGTGGCCCCTGGGCCCAGCCTCCAGCCTGACCCACTGAGCCTCTAAGACCCAGCACCTGGCCTGGCTGATTGCACGAGCGCTCAGCGCTGCTCCAGGCCACCCCCAAACCTCTCCCGTCCCTGTGGTTGTCTCCAGTAACTGTGCCCAGGCCCCACCCTAAGAAGCATCCTGCTTTATGGTGGTACCTGGGCCAACAGGGCTGCTTTGGCCTGTGGGTGTGGCCAGCCAGGGCCCAGCTGACCCCACTCCTAAGCTTCCAGCTCCTTGGGAGTGACCACTCTCCATCTCAGCTGGCTGCAAAGTCCCAGCAGCAGTGGTCCCACCCAGCCTATGCTGGGCCTGAGGGTGGCTGCTCAGCTCCCACTGTGACCCAGGGCTCCCAGGAAGGGCCGCCATGGGGCCAAGGCAGGGCCCCAGCCCTGGGCTATGGGGAGCAGCTATTTATAGGCCAGTGATGAGGGCACCAACCAGCAGAAGCAGAAATGCCTTTTTCAGACTCGGTTTCGGTTGTGGTTGAAACAAAGGAACTGAGACCCGGACACCCAGACACAACCGAAAGAGAGACCCAGAGAGAACACAGAAGGTGGGGGTGTGTGTCCTAGGCACAGACTGGACACACACAGCACCCAGGGAAAGGCCAGGAGGTCAGCCAGCTTCAGGGACACACAGACCTTGCCCACCACCTGCAGGCCAGCCAGCCCGGGCTGGCCCTACACCCAGGGTGTGACATTGGAGAGAAGGGTAGAGGTGTTTGGGGGGTTAATGAGAGTCTGCAGGGACCCCAAAGGGGTGTCCCCAGCACCCAGCTGCCCCGGGGCAGGTGGAGCAGCTGGTGATGCCAGGCCACCCTATGTAGAGGACGAAGCCTCTTCAGAAAGCAGTGGTGGCCATTGTGTGGCCTTGCTGTGTGCAGCCCCACAGTACACAGGAGAGGGCCCAGCATGGTAGGACTGGGGACCTCAACAGCCTCAGAGCACCCCTGGGCCAGAGTAGAGGACAAAACCAGCTCAGGGAATAGGGCACCCTGACCAGTGGGCAAGGCAAGCCCACCCCAGGCTTCTTGGGTCCTTGATCATACCCATCTTCAGGAGCACTGAGGACAGCCAGAGAACATGGGGCGACCTGACCCGCAATGTGCAGGCATGGGCCCCTCTCAGCATCACCCTCCCTGACCCTTGTCACCTCCAGTCCCACTCCCATGGCAGCCTTCATCCTCTGGGAAGCCTAGATGGTCTCTGTGTGGGTGCCAGAGAGGCCCACGGTCACCCCCGGCCCCTGTGGGTGCTGCCCTGTCTAGTTGCAGGTGCTGGGAATACTGGCCGTGCTGGGGCTGGGCGCCGGGACTCTCTTTTATCTCCTGTGGCAACTGCCTCCTCCTCCCACCTGGGGTCAGGAGCACCTTGAGGAAGTACCCACCAGGTCCTGGGGGCCCCTGGGACAGGAGGTGACGGAGTCCTGCCAGTGAGTGAGCCCACGGGGGCTGTGGGGCAGGTGGCTGGGCCGGAGTGGGTGTGGAAATGGGGTGCATGTGGCGTGCCCTTTGCAATAACAGAAGCTGCAGCTTGGGGGCCCCACCTCTGGCAAGCACAGCTACTGCCAGCTGGGCTGACTCCTCCCACCTGGGATCTTGTCCCTGCCCCCTCCTGCCCCTCAGTCATCCCTCCCACCTTTCTTTCCCTGCTGCTGGGATCCTGGGGTCCCAGAAGGTCCCCTCGGCAGAGACCCTTGATGCCCTAGACACACACCCTTCCTCCAGGCCTAGCCCTTCCCTCTGAGTTAGCCCAGTTGTCACCAAGGGTTTTGCATCATGGGGCTGCCTCAGACACAAGAGTTTGCTCTGCTTGGCTCCAGAAGCAACTGTTCCCTGAGGGTAGCACCAGGCCTGAGGAGAGCCTGTTCCACCCAGTCTGCCCTGCTCTAAGCTGGGCAGCCCCCAGGCTCCTCCCTGGACTCACTCCTGAGTGTCACCCTCCAGCGGGGTGTGGGTTCAGGCCTGCTCTGCCCAGTCTGCCTGGTTGCCCACCTCCCAGCCCCCTTGGCCTGGGCTCAGCCTGGGCACCGCATTGGCAGCAGTCCCTTGGGTCTGGCCAGCGGGGATGGGGCAGGCGGTGTGAGATGCCTACACTCAGTCTGGGCCTCATGGCTCTCTCCATAGGCTTGTTCTCGTGGAAAGCATCCCCCAGGACCTGCCATCTGCAGCTGGCAGCCCATCTGCCCAGCCCTTGGCCCAGGCCTGGCTGCAGCTGCTGGATACTGCCCAGGAGAGCGTCCATGTGGCCTCCTATTACTGGTCCCTCACAGGGCCAGACATTGGGGTCAACGACTCATCCTCCCAACTGGTGTGCCCCTACACTCCCCCAACTCTGAGGCACCAGGCCATCCCCACCCTACTCCAGCCAGTGGTGGGCATACAGCAAGCCATGCCACCCAGCCTGGGCTGCTCCCTCAGGGGCCCTCAGGGCAGGGGTGTCAAGGGTGGGCCTCCAGGGGGACAGAGCACCTGGATTACACCTGAGTAGAGCTTAGCTCCCAAACAAGGGCCACCTCATCCAGACACCAGAGCCATGGGGGCCTCTAGGGAAGGCATGGGGCCTGGTGGGTAAGGCAGAGGACCAGGCAGGGCCCCTCTCACAGCCGACCTGGCCTTGCAGGGAGAGGCCCTTCTGCAGAAGCTGCAACAGCTGCTGGACAGGAACATTTCCATGGCTGTGGCCACCAGCGACCCTACACTGGCCAGGGAGTCCACCGACCTGGAAGTCCTAGCAGCCCGAGGTAGGGGCCTGCCCTGTCCTGGGCCTGGCTGCCCTGGCATTGAGCACAGCTCTCTTGCTGCCACCATGAGAGGAGACAAGGAACGGCAGCACTGAGGGGTGGGGTGAGTGGGAAGGCACACCCCGGAGAGAGCAAGGCCCTGGCTCTGAGCTCCTTTGATGTGGCTTCCCTCGGGGACAGGACTCATTCCCAGGAGGCAGAAGTGTCATTTTCCATGGGGCAGAGCACAGGTAGTCTTGGTGCCTGTGGAGCCTGCCCTGCTCTGTTGGCAGAGGCCTAGGCTGGAGCTCTGGAGCCAGCCACCTGGAGAGACCCCCTTTTCCTCACTTGTAAAGGGGGATGGTTACAGCACTGACATTGTAGGAGTGTTGTGAGGACACCTGTCAACTCCACCTCAGGAAGTGCAGAGTCAGGCTCACTGTAAAGTTAGCACAGACAGGAGCCAGCTCATCCTGCCACTCTGAATCTCACCAGGTGCCCAGGTGCGACGGGTGCACCTGGGGCGGCTCACCAGGGGTGTCCTGCACTCCAAATTCTGGGTTGTGGACGGGCGGCATGTGTACGTGGGCAGTGCCAACATGGACTGGCGGTCCTTGACGCAGGTGAGTCCCAGCGCCCAGGGAGCCCCCCACCTGAGCTCTTCTCCTCCTACACTTCCCAGGCTTTGCCTGTGCCCCAGCACATCCAGAGAAAGTACATTTACAACATCAAAATCAGGGAAACGGTCAGATGCTGTTCAGTAAGTTTTGGAATTCCACATAGCCACTGAGCTCCAGCTGTGCAGTGACATTTGATGACGTGGAAGGATGTCCGGGCCACATTGTCACGGGACCATGCAGATTACAAAGCGTGAGCCCCTTTTAGAAAGAAATACATTACAAATGTGTAAGAAAACTACCATGGAAATGGCAGCAATGCTTATCACTTGACAGTAAAATTAATGATCATTTTTTTTCTTTTTTGTGCTTTGATGCATTTTTAAAAAATAAACATGTATATCTTTGATTGTAAGCCACTGGGCACCCATACTGAGGACACGCCATCAGACTCTCACTAGTGGTGCCACTGAAGAGTGTCACCCAGGCCCAGGTGGGGTGGGGTGGGGACACCCACACACCCCACAGAGGTGTCACCCAGGCCCAGGTGTGTGGGGACACCCACACACCCCACTGAAGAGTGTCACCCAGGCCCAGGTGGGGTGGGGTGGGGACCCCCACACACCCCACAGAGGGGCCTTGCTCCCTGCAGTAGCTGGCCCTGGCCCTGCAGGTGAAGGAGCTTGGCGCTATCATCTACAACTGCAGCCACCTGGCCCAGGACCTGGAGAAGACCTTCCAGACCTACTGGGTGCTGGGGGTACCCCACGCTGTCCTCCCCAAAACCTGGCCTCGGAACTTCTCTTCCCACATCAACCGCTTCCAGCCGCTCCGGGGCCTCTTTGATGGAGTGCCCACCATGGCCTACTTCTCAGTAAGGCGGGTCGAGGAGGGGCTGCCAGGACCCCCAGTTCTGCCCCTGCTGGCCTGGCCCTGAGGGAAGCTGCCTTGCAGACCACAGCCAGGTCTCCTCAGGGAGCCAGTCGGTGGCACTGGGGCCACAGCCCTGGGGCCACAGCCCTGGGCTAGGGAGGGCCCCCAGGAGGCTAAGCTCTAAGAGAATAGGCCACACAGTGCTGTTTACATGATATAGGTGGTGGGGGTGGGGAGGGCATCATGGGACCCTGAGGGGAAGACAAGTAGCTGGGGGGTAGGCGTATTCTGGGCCTTGGTAGAGAGAAAGCCAGCTGGGGGGACATTCTGGGACCCTGAGGGTCTCCACAGATGGTGGAGTGCAGCTGAGCAGGCAGCACCTGCAGATCCTCTTCCACTGGAGTGGGGGAGGGGTGGATAGCCCCCGGGATGGGTCTGCAGCAGAGACTGCACATGGCAGCAAGGGGAGCCTCCTGGATGTGAGGGTTCCACCTTGAGGGGTGTGAAAATGCTTCCATGTGGTGAATGACTGTTTGTGGGAGGTCCGTCCACCTTGGACGGGGCCAGCTGCTTCAGCAGAGCCCTGTGCAAAAGGCCCTTCTCCTTCCACCTTCCCTGGCATCTCAGCCTCCTTCCTCCACCACCATAAGGGATGCTTTGGGTGGTGCATGGTGAGATCACAGGTCTAGCAGTGCCCTTAGGGACGCCTCCCCTGCCACAGGCTTCACCACCTGCACTCTGTCCCCGAGGCCGCACCCGGGACCTGGATGCACTGCTGGCAGTGATGGAGGCTGCCCAGGAGTTCATCTACGCCTCAGTGATGGACTATTTCCCCACCACACGCTTCACCCACCCTGCCAGGTGGGTCTGAGTAGCCTTGGAGGTGGGGGCCTGCTCTGCTGCCTAGCAGCTTTCGCGCCTCCCCCTCCAGCCAGGTCTCCTATGGGTCCCTGGGTGTAGGCAGGCCCCTGACCACCCCTTCCACAGGTACTGGCCAGTGCTGGACAATGCACTGAGGGCAGCGGCCTTCAGCAGAGGCGTGCACGTGCGTTTGCTGGTCAGCTGCTGGCTCAACACAGATCCCACCATGTTCCCCTACTTGCGCTCTCTGCAGGCCCTCAGCAACCCCTCAGCCAATGTCTCTGTGGACGTGGTGAGGACTCACTCCTGGGGCCAGGTTGTAGGGGAGGCAGTGCCTTCCCACCGTGCCTGACACCTCCCGCCCCACCTGATGGGCTGCCTCTCTGTTTTCCAAAGAAAGTCTTCATCGTGCCAGTGGGGAACCACTCCAACATCCCCTTCAGCAGGGTGAGCCACAGCAAGTTCATGGTCACAGAGGAGGCAGCTTACATAGGTGAGTGGCTGGGAGAAGGTCTACAGGTGTTGGGCCTAAGACCCTGGAGTCTGTCAAGGGTCATCAGGTACCCAGTAACACACAGAGGCCACACAAACCACAGAAGGGGGATGTGGCCCCAGGTTTGAAGGAGGCCTTGCTTTTGTGCCCAGCGTGCGCCCCTCAGGACAGAGGGGCTGCCAAATGGGGTCAGGGTCTTGGGCTGAGTTTGTGGACTAGGCAACCTGCTCAACTATCACCTGGCCACAGGTGTAGATGGGAAAATCCTGAGTGCTGGGGGCCCCCAGAAAGTTGAGTCAAGACACCTGTGTCAGACCACCTGGGGGGAGTTCCACAAGGAAGAGCTGCACCCCCAAGCAAGGGGCTGTCCTGGCTGGAGTTTGATGACAGCAGAGTGACCAGTGTGTCCATCTGTCTCCAGACCTATAGCTGGGGCCACTGCCATACTAGGCTGCAGGGGCCTGTCTGTGTTGGTACAGTGACCCAGGGTCTCTTCCACTTACCTGCCCAGGCACATCCAACTGGTCAGAAGATTACTTCAGCAGCACCTCAGGTGTGGGCCTGGTGGTCAGCCAGAGGGCCCCCAGCACCCAGCCAGGTGTGACCCCCGTGCAGGAGCAGCTGCGGCAACTCTTTGAGCGGGATTGGAGTTCGCGCTATGCTGTAGGCCTGGATGGACAAGCTCAGGGCCAGGACTGTGTTTGGCAGGGCTGAGGTCAGGCCCATCTTGGCTCCTTGGCCCCACAGCTCATGGTGGACACTGGGCCCCCCAGGCCTTCCCCTCTGTCCCTTGGCCCGGGCTTTCAGCAGCTCCTTCAGCCCAAACCTGCCCAGGGTCAGAATTGCTCAAGGCTGCTACCTGCAACCTGCCTGGAGGGTGCTGCAAACTATTTACTCCTCTCTGCTCTCCAAATCCAGACCCTCCTAAGCCCCACCCCCTAAGCTCCACCCTTCCAGAAAGCCCTCCAGGTTGCTCCTCTGACTCTGATAGAACAAGCCAGGCCTAAAAAATGCTCTGGTACTTCCAGGCCCTCTGTGAGAATTAGTGTGTGTGTGTGGTGGGGGGAGGTGGAGGGGTTACTGTCTTTCTCCTCCTCCTTCTCCTCAGCCCCTGGGACCCTGCCAAGGGCTCATGTACATGCAACCACCCCAGTGCAGTCACATAACGTGTCTGCTGTGTGAGCTCCTTAGTCTGGGTCCAATCCAGGATCCCAGGGAACTCAAGGAGGCGTAGGAGACTAGGCAGGGTTAGCCTCTCTGGGACCCAAATCTCAGGGCAAGTAAGGAGCGGGAGGGGGAAGTGAGAGCTGTGAGTTTTGAGCAAGTTGGGGCACTCAGAGGGGACCTAGGCCAAGGGGGCAGGGCAGGAGCGTGGAGCTGGGCCCTGCAAAGCCTCTGTGCGTCTGGCAGCTGGTCTGTCCCTGAGCTGCACTTGACCTAGCCAAGCTCTAGCTGCCAGACTGTTCTCAGAGGCCTCCCATCACCTGCCTATGTTTCAAATCTCAGCTGAGGAGCAGTTTTCTCTCCGCCCTCCAGGGCTGCACCCTGGGTTTGGTCCCTGGTTCTCAGTCTCTAATTGACTGTATCTTGGAACTCGCTGCCTAGGCCTGATGGCTGAGTTCCAGCAAAACCCCAGGCCATGGGTGTGACTGGGTCAGCTGTCTGGAAGCCTTAAGCCAGTAAAGGGCCTGGTCCCAAGCACTTGGGGTCTGGCAGTTCCACCTCTATGGCAGTCTCAGTGGCCTCCCCCAAGGCAGACCCCACTCCAAAGAAGACCCGGCTTGATAGGGCTTGGGGGAGACCCAGCTCCATAGGGTTTTGGAGACCCCCAAGGGCAAACTGACATGGCCCCTCTGGGGTGCAACAGACACACTTGAATGGCTCCCAAGATCTTCACCTCCTGGCACAGGTCCTGCACACACAGAAGGCATAGTATGTCACCCCATGATCATGTCCCTTACTGCCTTGATGAAGTGAGCTGCTAAGCCGTGAACTGTCCTAAGGAGAAGCACCAGTGGCAGGGTACTGGGTGGCCTCCAGCCTCCAGTCAGCAGGAAGCTGAGGTGCTCAGTCCTCCCATCTGAACTGAGCAGGGGCAACAGCAACATGGCTCAGAAGTGGCTCCTTCTCCACTCCAGCCTGGAGGAGGCCACAGCCCAGCTGCAGACCCTGAACACAGAACCCAACAAAGCCATGCTTGGGGTCCAACCTCAGGAACCAGGGAGGCTGCTACTCTGTGGTGATGTCTCACACAGCACAGACAGCTCAGATGCAAGGGTGCACAGGCTGCCCGGGAGTCCATTATGCTGTGACAGCTGCCCTCTGGCTTCAAGCACCAACGTCCTACTATCCCAAGCCCTCATTCCAGGTTCAGAGAGGGACAAAAGCCTGAGGCGCCCCGTGGACTCTGGCAGCTGTGCTCCTCTGGCTGTGCTTTCAAGTCTGTGTGGCACACAGACTGGTGCAGGGGCGGAAGGCAGCCTTTTCCCCACCAACTCCCTTCCTCTCTTCCCCACTCATGAGCACTCCAGAGGCTCTGTGTCAGCTCACTTTCCTGAGGTCTCCACATCCCCCTAACTTGGGTGACCCTCCCAGCCAGCCACAGGAAAGACACACACGCCCTTGATGGCATGGGGGGGAGCCCAACCTCTCCTCCCCAACACCCCATAACCTCCAGCCCTCTATTCCCTCTCAGAGGAGCCCCACACGCACAGCCACACAGCAACGCACCCCCAGGGACCGTGAGGGCTGGTTGCCAGTACCACCTAGGCCAGGAGGGAGCCAGGCAGGGATCCGCCCACCTGCTTGGCACCCTGTGCACGGTGGGAGCAGAATGTGGCGGGGCACCTGAGGGCAGCTAGGGGTGAAGGCTCAGGACCCCCTCCAGCCTCACTCATCTACCCACATGAGTGGGCTACCTGAGGAGGGTTGTGCTGATGAAGGAAGCTTCTGAGGAGGACCCTGACATGACCAGGGCCTGCTGTCCCCACACTGGAGGGGCCAGAGAGTTCTGTGTCCCTGCCACACCCTGTCTCCCTCATCATCTCCCTCACAGCCTCTGGCTCAGAGGAGGATCTGGGCAAAGGGGCAGTAAGTGGGCAACCACTCTAACACGAACCCTTATCTAATTGTGAGAGCCACTTGGCAGGGACTAGGGGCATGTGGGAGGAGAGTGAGACACTGGTGAACTTCCATCCTGGAACAAAAGATCCTGGTAGCTGTCACTGTGGGAAACATCACATCCTTTATTGCCCATCCAGGGGACAGCTAAGCCAGTCCCATCTGTAGTTGGGCTACAGCCTGCACATTACACAGCACAGGGCCACAGTGGGGGACCGTGCACACTGGGTGGGTGCTGGCAGACACTGGCAGGCAGGTGAACATGTATCGATGGCTCATGACAGAGCCCAGGTGTCTCAGCCTCTGCTGCTCACCCACCCACCATCGAAGGCTGGGCACAGCCACCAGGCAGCCCCTGGCTGTCACAGCATGTGTGCCTGACCTGTCCCAAAGCTTGCCATTAGTGACACTTGGCAGAGGAATTAGTGCGCAAATAAGCAGAAAGAGGGTCTCCTGGAATACTCGGGGGTCTGCCTAAAATAGGCAAAGCACCTTTGCCAGGAAGCAGCAATAGAACTCATACCAAAAGCCATACCCAGCGCCAAGTAGCCCTGTCCTCAGAGAAGCAGTTGTGGTCTCACAGGCATTGCCAGAAGGCCTCTTAAAGCTTATCTGCTGAAGACCAACGGACTTCTCCATCGGTGTCTCCAAGAGCACCGCTGTGCTGCGGGAATTCTGGCGTCTTGTGGGATGTCAGGGTGTTGTCTTTGCTTCCAGAGCTTGAGGGATCTGGGTACATCTTTGGTTCTGTGTGAGGAGTGCTATGTGGTAACACATGCTGTGCACAGTTGTAATTTGTTCTCGGTTGTGGGGAACAAGGTGACCATTGTGTGCTGCAGGATGGGGAGCTCCACACACAGGCGGCCTCTGCTTCTGCCTCAGTCTGTGTTTGTCTCTGCTGTCAGGTCACACCTCTTGCCTTCACTTGGGAGTGGTCTAGGTACATATTTGTCATCAGCCTTTCTGTCCTGCTAAAGCAGGACTAACTTTCTTGCACCTGACACCACCATCACTCAGAGCCTGGGCCAGCACCAGCAGCTGCCAGCCCATGTTCTTCCTTCTCTTCAGGGGAGAGGCTTTCTCGGGCATCAAAAAAGGTGACGGCTTCTTCCTGGAGTTTCTGCGCTGCCAGGTCTGCCTCATCGTCAGTGCTTCTGCTTTTCTTGGTAGGAGAAGAGAATCCTAATTTCGGAAATCGGAACCAGCCTGCCTTCTCTTGCTTTCTAGGCAGTTCTGCCTCTGGTCGCGCCTCAGGCTGTGTTTGGACTGGAGCAGCTCTTGGGATGTCATCTCTGGAATCAACAGCTGTCTCATCAACAGAAGAGGAAAACCCGATGTTTGGGAGCCAAGACCAGAGTAGACCAGACTTTTTGCTTTCCGGCTTCTCTTTCGGAGCCCTGTCTTCCTCTGCCAGGGGAGTGGCTGCCTCACGGCTGTCATCAGGAGGAAACTCAAGAATTTCTGCTGGCTCCTCATCCAAACAGCTATCTGCAGGCTGGTGGCCTGAACAAACTTCAAAGCTGAGTGTTTTCGGGCCTGGACTCCCACCACTGGAAGAGATGATCTCAAATGGCTCTGCAGTGTCAGTCTGGAGGTCTCTGGAAATGGCTTGTGTGTGAGTCTCTTCAGAGCTTTCCCCAGTCTCTGTGTATAACAGAGCATGCCCTGGGGGCTCTGGGATTTTCACCTTCAGCAAGGAAAATCCATAGGAAGGTGTTTGAATCTTGGACACAGGGATCTCTGATTCCCGCACAATCCGAGTGGAAAAAGCCTTCAGTGAGGAGGGATCGGCACATTCTGGTGTCACCCTGCTATGTGTGGTGATCTCCTGACTCTCAGCCTGAGCATCCTGAATGTGCACTCTGACCTTAGAAATAGGGGGAGGTGCCAAGGAGAGGTCAAGGCCCACAGGCTGCTCCCCAGGAACCCCAGCACCTGCCTTCAGGATGCTGGCTCCCCACAGCCCAAGGCTGGGCTCCGGACACTGTACTTCCCTCACAGTGGGGATGAACACATCCGCCTCTGAGCTGGGGACAGGGAAGGAGAATCGTGGTACCTTTAATTTGGGGAATTTGACAGTTAGCACAGAATCTTCCCAGACTTGACTCATATCAACTACCGAAATCTGGGATGGCACATCAGTCTTTGAAGCTTTCAGCTTAAGAGGACCTTTTGGCTGGGAAAACTGTTCCCCTGTTGCCTCCTCCACCTTGGCAAGTTCTCTGTCTCCTGCCTTGGGAAGAGAAACCTCACCTGTTTCAGGGGCTGGGCCTTCTGAGACTCTCATGCCAGCCATCAGAAGTGGGAGGGAGCCTTCAACTGGGTGGGTCCTGACCTCGGAAGTGGGAATACCAGCCTGAGACTTACCTCCCGGGGGGAGGTGGAGCTGCACACTTGTGTTGCCAAGACCATGCTGGGAAGCACCTGAGGACAGTCCACCCTTAGAAGCTGTCACATCGGCATCTGCATCTGGGGGCTGCAGGGACATCTTTGGCCCCAGATCCTGGGACTCCTCAACCCCAGCTGCTGCTGACCCTTCTGTCAGTGTGGTGGCAGCTGCTTCCTGCTTCCCAACTCCACCTTTGTCCTTGGAAGAGCGCCTGAGACGCGGCATGCGGAACGTGGGCATTTTAAACCAGTGCTCTTGTGGGTCCACCGAAGTTTCTCCTGCTCCATGTTCTGCCTCTGGACTTTCCACTCTGGGGACTTTAGCATCTGCTATTTTACAAGGTGGCTGCAACAGGCCTTCTGCAGTAGGGGCTATCCCAACCCCACAGGGCTGGCTTGTGGAGACAATAGCCGAGACGTGTTTGGGAAGTGGCAGGCCAGCTTCAGACTGCCTTACATCTGCCTTGGCCTTGGAAGATCTAAGATCAGACTTGGCAAAGCCCAAACTGGGAATGCGTGCTCGGGGCAGGTGCA